GCATGGGTCCTTCCACGTGAGAACGGAAGAGGCAGACAGGAGGGTGAGTGAGACACAAGGTGAAAGGGCCTAACTGCTCCTTGCTGGCTTTGAGCTTGAGAAACGGGCCGCGAGCCAAGGAATGGCAATTGGCTCCCAGGAGTTGGAAAAGGCAAGGAAATGGATCTCCCACCCCAGAGCTTTCAGGAAGGAACACAGCCCTTTGGACACCGTGATTTTTAGCTTGGTGAGGTAAATTTAAAACAACACCTAAATGCTTTTTGGTCCTGTTCATACAAAGCAGCTCAACCCTTTTGCTCTTTGCCCCACTAACCCCAAAGGGATGAATCTATTTGTAAATAAGATGTTCTGCTGGGGCCCATCCAGAATGGTTTGGGCCACATTGTTTTTTTTTTTTGTTCGCTTGTGTTTAAGGCAAAGGTCATACTTACCTACCCCAGAACAGCTTGTGAAAAGCATTAACTCGGGATAATTTCCACGGAGATTACTCTGGTATGGGGGGGAAAGGCCGGCAGGCCTGTAGGAAGAAATTCTAAAAGCTGCCCCCCTCCAATTATAAGCAAATACTATAATTACTTCATCCATCTGGACTGACACCAAATCCAAATTAAATAATATTCGATAGAAACAAAGTTTTACTACTTTCAAGTACTTGGAATATCTCAAAAGCTAACTATGTTTCCAGTGAGACTGCCTTTCCATGCTCTGCTTAAATCGACTATACACAGAAGCCAAGACCCAATTAAGATTTTTAAAAACTTCTGGTAAAACCAGAGTCAGAAAGAAGCTTTCTCAGTATGGAAAACAGTTCTCGAGCTAAAGCACAACATTCTACTCTTGGGAACAAGAGAATGACACCTCCCAGATGTCTGTGGCCAAAGGATTTTTATTTAAATAGCTTTTAATGACCACGTGGGCCACAGAATGCAGGCCCGGGACACTACAAGAGCCATCTGTCTTTTAAAATCATGAACAAGCCAAGGTTGTCCTTTACCACTAAGATTCTTTGATACTATAATGGAAGATCACACTAACAAAATAAGGCAGGAGAACTAAATACAAAATATTGGTTAGAAGGAGAAAAGTTACAATTTAGAGACAATATCATTGCTACTTATCATACCCTAGAATCAAACATGGACCTAGGAGGACAGTTTAAAAGATGAGACACACAAATCAAGAACTTACACATTCCCAGCTGAAAAGCGTAATGGAGAAAAAAATCCCTTTTGTAGGAGAAATCAAAACAAAACAAAACAAAACCCCACAACAATAAGAACCAAAAGAAAATCCCACATAAATTACTTAGGAATATACTTAACAAAAAGGAGGTACAAAGTCTTGGAAGAAAATCATTTACTGAGGAGTATAAAAGACAATAAAAATACAGACATTTAACTTTGGGAAGGGAAGACTTAACAGTTAAAGATGCTACTTCTCTCTAAATTCATTAATTTAAACCAATTTCAAGGTCACAATAGCAACCTTTTAAAAGCAATGATCTTATAATCCCAAAGCTTAATTAGAGGAATCGATGTGAACATATCATTGGGAAATTTTTGAAAATTAAGAATTCTTTGGGAAGTCTTAATATTATGAAGATTACAATTTTTTTTTTTTTAAATTTATTTGACAGACAGATCACAAGTAGGCAGAGAGGCAGGCAGAGAGAGAGAGGAGGAGGAGGCAGGCTCCCCGCCGAGCAGAGAGCCCGATGCGGGACTCGATCCCAGGACCCTGAGATCATGACCTGAGCCGAAGGCAGAGGCTTTAACCACTGAGCCACCCAGGCGCCCCGAAGATTACAATTTTTTAAAAAATTTTATTTATTTGACACACACAGAGAGAGAGAGAGAGACAGTGATAGAGAGAGCACAAGCAGGGGAGGGGCAGAGAGAGAGAGGGCTAAGGAGACTCCCCACTGAGCAGGGAGCCTGACGCAGGGCTTGATGCCAGGACCCTGAGATCATGACCTGAGCCGAAGGCAGATGCTTAACTGCCTGAGCCACCTAGGGACCCCATGAATATTATAACTAAAACAAAGCATTCACAGCATAAAATTTAAAAATGAGGGTGAAGACAAAAGTCTTTAGGGAAATATTTATAAATCTGATTTCATAAAATCTTGAGTCAAAAAAAGAGTAAGCAAAATTAAAAGACTAATTTAAAATCAGAAAAACATCTGCAATAAAAATGTGACCCCTTAATATGCAAGAAGCTCTTATAAATAGAAGTTAACTCCCAAAGAAAGGTACCTAATGAATAAAAATTATTTAAAAAAAATAGACTTACCAAGGATAAAAATGACTGCAAATTAAGGTACTTTCATCTAGCTAGCTAACAGAGATTTTTAAAATGAATAGTGCTCAGTGTCTGAACCTGGGAAAACAGGCACTTTCCTAAATCAGCTGAGATAACTTTTTGAAAGGTAATTCAGTAACAGTGCTAAAATGTCCAGACCCTGTACAACATGATTGTGTGAGGTCATGGGCCAATCCCGTGTATTCAGGGCTATAACTGTGTTGCCTAATATGTGTAGGTACCCAGGTTTATCTACTGAGTGAGAACATGTGACCAAAGAGACATTCTGGGGCCAAAGATGCTGACCCGGGCCCCTGGGTGCCCAGTGATCTCCAGTCCAGGTGACCTTGGGGAGGGTGAGTTTGGGTCAATGAACAGGAAGGGCATGGATGGTTCTAACTTTCCTATTCAAGAGGAGACTGTTACTTTAAATTCTCCCTTCATGAGGATGGAGCCCTTATGGGTACAGGGTTGTGGCCTAGTACCCCAGATTTAGCCAGACTCGGCCTCGTGCACCAAGAGACAGTGAGCGCAAAGGGCTGCCCCACTGATATGTCACATCTACTACTGCTCTGTGTAGCCACCTGCCTCCTGGCACGACACCATATTCCCTGGCTAGATCAATCAAGATCTCTATCATACTAGACAGCTTCTTCCCACCCACTGGTAAACGCATCTAAAAGTATGCAGGGCTTCTATAATCTGAAAAAATCCAAATGAAAAAATTAGCAATATTATGTGTCCACGGAAGGATCCAATAGGCTAACAAAACGCGCTTCAAAATAAAGTATGAAGACAAAGTGTGGAGATCAGCATCAAAGCAGGTAAACCTGGCGTACCCCAAGTTCCAGAAGGAAATAGGAACTTAATGTTTGTATTACAGGGAATACGTCCTTGGAAAACAGGATTTTGTTCACCAACTCCTTTGAGCAGAATCTCAGACGACATCCTCTGATTCTGTCTGCGATTGGAACTTCACGGCTTCAAAAATCCCTTTTGTATTTACCACTTTAAGACGCCCCAAATTTACACCGTTACAGTTATATCCAAATGAAATGTTCCATCGAACATTAGGGGACAGAGTGGTGGCACAGATTTGTCTCTGAGTTTATCATAATTAAGTTAAAAATAAAAAAAAATATTGGGGGATAACTATGCTGTTCATGCTGCTTTGTTTTTTTCCATGAGTTTCTTTAAAACACATGCAACACCAAGTTGGCCATGCCCTGCCCACCCCCATCTTCCCCGTCCTGCTATCTTCGGTGACATGGGCTTGCCCCATTCGACTGCACTCTATGTCCTCGGAGACAACATCTCATTTCCCCCAGGAGAATTCCACTGGCCTGGGAAGAGCAGCCAGAACACATCAAGGCGAAGAAAGATGAAGAGAAACGACTGCTGAAATCTAAATCAGTTTCCTAAAACTAAATCAGACACTGAGAGATGGGAAAGCTACAGTACAGGCCTTTTAATTTTTATTTAATATGATGGAAAGCAAAGAAAACATTTTTTTCTGGACATAGGACACCTTTTCTTTCTTTCTTTTTTTTTTTTTTTCTTAAGGTGTCTTTAATGAGCAAAGTTAGGTTTCCTTTTGCCACGGAATTCCACTGCTCTTTCAGAAGAACTACCACCTCAATGCCCAACGTCCACAGAGAACAGGGCCCCGGGCCATGTGGAATTCCAAATGTGAGCCATGTCACATTATAGAGAAGGTGAAATAAAATCTGTTCCTTCGCTAAGGACTGAGTTCCCTCTGGTTGGCCAAGTCCTTGCTCTCATGGGGCTTAAGTTCCACTGGGGGTGACCAGGGATCTAGCAACAATGGTACCGACTTAATATGTGCACAGGCGACTACCATCTTCCAAGCCCCTTCTCACCCATCGTCAGATTTACGATTAAATCCATACTGTGGGATGGCCATGTGCAGACGTGACCTGTCCTGCATGAGGCTGAGCCCCCCGGCCAGGCTCTCCCTTCTTAGCCCAGCCTTAGTGAGGGATGAAGGAAAGAGCGTGAGTACCGGGCTCTCATCACCACTGTCTGCCTTTGGTCTATTTCGTGAAGGCTGTAGCTGCTCTGAAAACAGCTAGGCCATCACTCCCTCCCATTCCCTGTGAAACAGCATCCTGAAAAGTCATCGGTCCCGTGTCTTTCCCAGGACACAGAAAAGATGTTCAGGATGCTAGTCTGCTGGAGATATGGGCTGCCAACCCCTCCCAAATCCTGCTTCTCCCTGGCAGTAACCGGCACTCACCTAGGAGCAGCCTTTAACTGGGGAAACATCTAGAAGCCTTTAAGTGATAGAAGTCGGGAAGAGACCGCCTTTTAAAATTCCTGCTGAGTGTGGTACATAAACAATGAATCTTGGAACACTGAAAAAATAACAAAATAAGATAAAATAAAATAAAATTCCTGCTGAAGCTCTTTCCCGAGGGGCTGACTGTAAGCAGTCTGCAGACTACTGATAAAGGGGCTTAAGGATGCAAAAAAAAATTAACAGCCAACTTTTAAAGAGCCACACGGTAACCCACAATACAGATAATCGCTTCATCTGTGAAACAGAAAAAGCCAAAAGAACTGAACTGCGCTCTTTCAAAGTGTTCTTTCTCCAATCCGATTGGCCAAAGCACAAAGTCCGGCCCCTTCTGCCCTCACCCTCCCTCCCCTGGTCCCTCTTCCCTCCAGCACCAGCTCACCTCTAATTGCAGATCCGGAACTGTGGGCTCAAGAACATATCTCTCTGGGAAGTCTATGACAATTTTAGAATTAAGAAGAAAAAAGTGATACATCTCTTGAATGTTTTGTGCCAGGCACAGTGTGGGACCCTACGGATGTCAAGTGGATCGGGGAAGGCCCCTGCTCTCTAGTTACTTGAGGTGCAGTGGGCAAGATATAGCTGCAAACAATTATTACAAAACAAAGTCATCCATGATATAACAGAGGTCAAGGGCAGGGTGATGAGGGGGGCCTGGGAAGGTGTCACGAACAGTGCCTAGGAGCGTGGGGAAGTGCAATGACAGAGTGGTTTCTGGAATGAGGACCTTCTAGAGTGATCGGCGTGGACAGAGGAACAGGGATGGACACATTCCATGCGACTGGAGTTGGGTGTGAGCTGCATGGCAGGAGACCCTTTATGGACTCGCGTGTCGTGCTGTGGAGTACGGACTTTCTCTGTACTGGCGGAAGGCTCATAGAAGACTGTAAGGGAATAAACTGGCCAGCTTTATTTTAGGCAAGGAACTCCATGAAGGAGGATCTTAGGATGTAGTGTCAAAACATGACTGTTCTCCAGTCCTGGGGCTTCTCCTCCACCCATCTCACCAATTCCTGGCAATCTGTGGCTCAACAGATAGGAGTGGAACCCTGCCCCTCTCCCCTGAGCTCCAAATCCACCGTCCTCACCACCCACCAGAGTCTCCCCTTCAACGGCTCAAATATCTCCAAACCAACCTATCCGAACCAGAAGACCTGATGTTCCTTCCCAAACCTCTCCTCTTACCACTCCTCTCCACCATCTTGACAGATGGCCACAACATCCACGCAGGCGCTAGAGTGGGGTTCTGGGGATCATCTGACATTCTGGTCAGGCCCTCACTCCTGCCCGCAAACATAGCTGGTCCAGCCCATATACCCCTTGTAGCTCAGGCCACCACCGGTTCCTCTTGACTCAGGACTTCTCAGTTTAGCACTGAACACGTGGGGGCCAGAGAGTTCTTTGTTGTGGGGGCCTAGCCTGTTGTGGGGGCCTGTCCTGTGCATTCCCGGGCTCTAATCCACTATAAGCCAGTAGCCCTCATCCCCGCACCCCCCTGAGCTGTGACAGGCCTGTCTTTCGTTCCCTGGGCCATAGTATGGGGCTCCGTTGAGAGCCACTGCTCTTACTCCAGGACCCTCCATCACACTGGCCTCTCCTTCAATTCCTCGAACCCACGAAGCTCCTTCCTGCTTTCAGGACTTGGCAAATGCTGTTTTCTCTGCTAAGAACATTCTTAGGTCTACTCTTCTGTTGGCCAGCTCCTTCTCACACTTCTGATCCCCACTCCATATCGCCTCCTTAAAAAGGCTCCCCGAAATACTTTATCTCAAAGGGAGCACCCCTGCCCTTGCATATTTTCTTCATAGCATTTTTAACTTGAAGAACTGACATACAATGCTATATTAGTTTCAGATGATGACATAATGACTTGTTACTTGTGCGTAATTGCAAAGTGACCACAGTATGTCTACCATCAGTCACCATACACTTACAAACTTTTTTTCCTCTTGATGGTGACTGTCAAGATGTACTCTTAGCAACTTTCAAGCACGCAGTACAATGTAGTTAGTAATGTATATATGGTACATGCAAAAAACAATATAGTCATAATCACCACGCTGTACACTACATCCCTGTGACTTACTGCAAGTCTGTCTTCTCAGTTCCCCTTCACCCACTTTGACCACACCCTACTCCTCTCCCCTTTGGCGACCACCAGTCTACAAGGTCTGTTTTATGTCTGTTTTTAGATTCCACGTATAAGTGAAATCATACACTATGTGTTTTTGTCTGACTTACTGCACTTAGCATAATATCCTTGAGGTCCATCCATGTTGTCACAAATGGCAGGATTTCATTTTTATGGATGAGTAGTATTCCATTATGTGTGTGTGTGTGTGTGTGTGTGTGTATCACATCTTTTTTTATCCATTCATCTACCAATGGACACTTAGGTTGTTTCCATATCTTGGTTACTGTAAATACCGTGGCAATGAACATGGGAGTACCTGTATCTTTTTGAATGAGTATTTTTGCTTTCTTCAGGTAAATACCCAGGAGCTAGATCATACAGTAGTTCTACTTTTCAATTTTTTAAAGAACTTTCATACTGTTTTCCACAGTGGCTGCACCAACTTACATTCCCACCAAGAACATAAGTGCAAGAGGGCTCCCTTTTCTTCACATCCTCACCAACAAGTTATTTCTTCTCTTTCTCCTGAGAGCCGTTCTAGCCAGTGTGAGGCGTGGATCTGATCTGCGTTTTCCTGATGATGACTGACACTAGGCGTTTTTTCATGTTCTTGGCCATCGTACGCCTTCTTCAGAAAAATATTCAGATCCTGTGCCTATTCTGAAATCATACTGTTCAGTTTTATTGTTATTGAGTTGTACGGGTTCTTTACATATTTTTTATATTTACCCCTTATTGGCTATATACTAGTAAATACCTTCCCCCATTCAGTAGTCTTCTTATTTTGTTGATGGTCTCCTCCACTGTGCAGAAGCTAGCTTCTAGTTTGGCATAGTTCCATTTGTTTATTTTTGCTTATGTTGCCCTTCCTTTTGGAGTTAGGTTCAAAAAATTATCACCCGGACCAATGTCAAGGAGCTTACTGTCTATATTTTATTCCAGGGGTTTTATGGCCTGCAGTCTTACATTCAAGTGTGCAATTCATTTTAAGTTAATTTCTGTGTATGGTGTAAGCAAGTGGTCCGGTTCCCCCAGCACCGGACCCTGCAGACGCTGTCCCTTCCCCACTGGATATCCTCTCCTCCCCTGACATAAATTCATTTACCATATATGGGTAGATTTATCTCATAGCACTTCAAACGTTAGTAATTATTTTATTATGTTTATGTCTTCTGGCTTGTCTCAACCACAACAGTGAAAGCATTATTAGGGCAGGGACTCTGTCTGTGTTGGCTTCTGTCCTACCCCCAAGGTCCAGCACGGTGCCAAGCTGAGTAAGTATTTGTCAGCTGAATAAATGAATGAATGCATGGACAGACCGTCAGATGTATGTCTTCTCTCCCAGGCACTAACCACCATCCTTAAAAAATAACAAAGTCACAGCATGAAAAAGTAGCTCAGGGGAATTAGACGTCACCCGGAGAGAATGTATGTCAGCACAGTGCTCAGCAACCCAGTGCTCCCCGATCCAGCATGTGCTGTAGAGAGCAGCGCATGTTGGATGAGTAAAAGGCATTCCCATAGAAACAAGAACAGGTGACCGTCTCTTCATTGAGGAAAAAAAAAAAAGCGCAGTTAGGCCTTGTGAATAGTTAAACATGTTCCTTTTCACTGAACCTGACTGGTGTCTCCCAGTGTCTGTGCGTATTGGGTGTTAGGCCAAAAAAGATAAAGAAGGAGCAAGAATCTTAATGTTACAGTCCTCAGAGACCACAACCACCTTCTCCTGACTCTCTCCTTAATGACAGGCTGAACGTCTCAGGGACAGCGTCTCTGCCGAGGGCTGCACTGTCTTCTCTGCCTTCTGGGGTCTAATAGAAGCCACAGACACAGGATCCGCACACAGCGAACTTGCCAGAAAATACAGGTGTACCATCTGGGGAAACTTGACTCCCGTCCAGGAAAATAACTTTCCAAGGATTCACCCTCCAACCCAATGCTTTCTTGATCACATCTTTTGTGCTACTGAGCAGATTATTAGTGAGTTATTGCCGCTCCTGTGACCGTCTGCATAACACTCAGGTCTGAAACGTTGTTCTTCTTCTGATAGGACCGCTTCGAAACTATCGCCCTCTCCACACTGGATCCCAACTTTGAGTTCTGGGCTCAAGACTGGTTTTTTGGAATCATTACTGTGTCGTTTTGTTTTGTTTCCACATGGTACCCCAGGGATCAGATTTTTTTTTAATTTCAAAATTAATATGTACTTTCCAGAAAAAGTTCTTTTGAGGCTACAGTTCAAATTCTATATTCAGAGGAGAAACACACTTCAGACAAGGCAAGGGGGCTTTTGAACCACTGAATCGGGGAAAACACATCTGAAAATGATGTAGCTACCCATTCCAAAGGCGGCTGGCTTCATCTGTACCACGGCTCCCCTGCATTCTAGTGGATAACTGAGAACTGTTCCATTTTAATGTCACAGACAGCACAAGCTTCGGAGAACACTGCAGTGGTCTGGGTCTGACACATCCCGGAGAGAGGAGGTCGGGGTTCACATCCCAGCCTTCTTCTACTTACTAGGGTGCCTGGAGCAGGTCACTGAACTTCTCTGTGCCTCAGTTTTTCATCTATAAATTAGCAACAGGTTGTCAGAAGATTAAGTGAGTTAATTAATTCTTAAGTGTTCAGACAGAGGTCTGGCATATGCTAAGCCCTTGAAAAATGTTGCTCTTATTATTAACAAAGCTTTTAAAATTGCTTCTGATTGATAATAACTATGCCTTTCTTTGCTGAATTAGGTTTCTGGCTAGAATAAACTCAGTGGAATTAGAAACGTAAGATTCTCCCAGCAACCAATGATTCTAACTTCTTAAAACACCAAAAATTATGAATAAACTCATGGCATACATCCTATTAGTGCTTGTGAACTAGACAGAAAACCAGAACCTAACTGATGTTGCTGGTCTTCTTTTCTGGACTCCACAGTCAAGAATTCTAGAATGTCTCATTTCTGTGTTCTCAAGCAAGTTCTAAGAGACACCTTTAAAAATCTCTGTTAAGTGTCCAGGCAAGGGAAATGGGGTGGTAGCAATTAAAATGCAAAAGTGAGGGGCACCCTGCTGGCTCAGGTAGGAGAGCATGTGACTCTTGATCTCAGGGATGTGAGTTCGAGACCATTGTTGGGTGTAGCGATTACTTACAAATAAAATCTTTAAAAAAAAAAAAAAAAAGGACAACCCTTAGGCCTTGGGACAAGAGACCTGCTGGCCAGATCAGAACCCCCAAGCTGTGCAGGGAGGCATGGAGATCGTCTGGGTATATTAAGCCTTTTAATCTGAAAGCCAAAGTTACATGGTACCTCAAGAGCAGGAGCTCCAGCTCAGATGGCCCAGCAGGCTGCAGAAGCACTGATC